GAAAGCAAGAAATCACCCCCCAGGGGGGATGGTCACGCCGCAATCCCTTCTCCTCCATTCTCCTCTGGGGATCTTGGGCACGCATGCACACGCGCCCGGCGTGAGTTTTAAGCCACCGGGTCCGGGACACGAACCGTGGTCGACTACGTGGGAGTCCAGCGACATAGCCATTACGCTAACTGCTGGTTCCCAAACTCCTTTTTAAAAAAAAAAAAAAATTAACTTTATTAATTCATTTATTTTTAATTTAACCAGAGAGAGAAAGAGAGAAGGTGAGACACCAGGTCTGGGACTCAAACTGTGGTTGGCCATATGGGAGTGTCCAGCACCACCTGCTGGTCTCCTAAACTCCTTTTAATAATAATAACCAGAGAGAGAGTGAGAAAGCAAGCCACCAGGTCTGGGACTCAAACCGCGGTTGGCCATATGGGAGTGTCCAGCACCTTAACCACCACGCCACCTGCTGGTCCCCAATATTTATTTATTTATTTTTTAAAGAAAGCAACTTACATCATCTAATTCTTTCTCCACCTGAATTTTTCTCTTCTGGAATTGTTTTATTGTTTTCAGCTCAGTCTGAATCATGCCGATTTCTTTCGCTTTTTGATGGAAGTGTCCTTCCAGCTCATTTATTTGCACAGTATATTTTTGTTCCTGTATTCAAAAAAGAGGGAAATAAGTTAAGAAATAGAACATAAGTTCCATGGAGTCGTGTTCCACATGGCTCACTTGCATATCTTCTTTATGTCTTTTTTCCCAAATGTTTTTTAAAGAATTACTTTATTTAACTTTATTATTATTTTAATATTTCCAGAGAGAGACAGAGAGAGAAAGTGAGAAAGCAAGCCTCCAGGTCCAGGACTCAAACCATGGTTGGCCATGTGGGAGTCCAGCACCGCTAACCACACCACCACCTGCCAGTCCCTATATCTTTTCATTTTTACGTAAAGTTTTCATTTTTATAAAAAGACACCAACTTCCCTGTACAAGAAAAAAGTTCTGGAAAAATTTCTGTACAGGCTGATTGTGTATAGAATGGAATAAAGCACAGACATTTATTAAAAAGGGGTATGAGAGGACTAAACAAATCTTTAATGCGTAAAATGAATAAAAACAGTGACCAGCAGGTGATGTAATAGTTGTTGCTGGACTCTTACATAGCCAACCATGATTTGAGTCCCAGACCCAGAGGCTTGAAATTTATGCGGGGTACCTGTGCATCTGTGCCCAAAATCCCAAGAGGAGAATGGAGGAGAAGGGTCTGTGTTGTGGCCATTCCCCTGGCAGGGTGATTTCTCACTTTCGGTCTCTCTGTTCCTGTCTCTCCAGCAAGCACATGCACTGATAGCATAATCGCTCTTAAAGTAAATAAATAAATAAAAGGATAAAAACATTCTTGACCTAAGTTAAAATGAGTTAGCTAAGAAACAAAGGGAAAATAAATATTCTTAAGAAATTAAGACGTTTCGGGACCGGCAGTTGGCATAATGGCTATGTCGCTGGACTCCCATGTAGTCAACTGCGATTGGATTCCCGGACTAGAGGTTTAAACTCGCGCCTGGCGCGTGTGCATGCGTGTCTAAGATCCCGCCGAGAGGAGAATGGAGAAAGGACTGTGGCGTGGCCATCCCACTGGGGGGTGATTTCTCACTTATGTCTCTCTGTCTCTTGCTATCTTTCTGGTGGACACATGCACCCTTTAGCAAAAACCTCTCAAAAATAAAAAAAAAAATAAGAAATTAAATAACAAAAAAGAAGTTTGGAGAAAGAGGAAATAGAAGGAAAAGGAAATAGGAAAGGGAGGAGGAGTAGGAGGAAGAGGAAGAAAAAGAGAAGAGGGAAGTGAGAGGAGGTAAGGGGAAGCAAGAGGCCAGCCACAGGGGCATGCTGGTAACACATCTGTGAGGCTGAGGCCACATGAGAAGGTCCCAGGTTTGTGCTTCAGGGTCTCCCTGTCACACTAGGTACACATGCACATGCTGATGGTCCTGCCTAGCTGAAGCTGGGGTGAACCTCAGTGTGAAGACCTTTCTGGAGGTAGCCCTCCCTTCATCCTTTCTTTCCCTCTTCCCCATCCAAGAAATAAACTTTTTCTGACAGATTTTTGCTGTAGGGTGCATGCACTCACTGGCAAGACAGAGAGACAGAGACAGAGACAGAAAGCATGAAATCGCAGCCCCCTGCGGGAATGGCCACACCACAATCCCTTCTCCTCCATTCTCCTCTCGGGATCTAGGCCATGTGCCCACACATGCCCAGGGTAAGTTTTAAGCTACCAGGTCTGGGACCTAAACTGCATTCGACTACATGGGAGTTCAGTGACCTCACCATTATGCCATCTGCTGGTCCCAAAATAAACTTTTTTTTTTAAGAGATATTTTTTTTTTTTTTTGCTCTAGGGCATGTGCACTTGTCAGAGAGACAGAAAGCAAGAAATCACCCCCCTGGGGGGGATGCTCCCCCATCCCTTCTCCCCCATTTTCCTCTCGAGAGCTTGGACACACACACACACACACACACACACACACACACACACAGGGCTGTGTGAGTTTAAGCAGCCAGGTCCAGGATTCAAACCACGGGACTATGTGAGAGTTCAGCAACAAAACCATTATGCCATATGCTGGTCCCGAAGTAAGCATGTTTTTTTAAAGAAGAGAAAAAGGCCAATAGCCCAATTTAAAACTGAATAAGGGGGCCAGCAGGTGTGGTGGTTAAGGACACTGGACTCCCACATGGCTGACTGTAGTTCGAGGCCTGACCTGGCGACTTGCTTTCTCTCTCTCTCTCTCTCTCTCTCTCACTGTCCCTCTCTGGTCAAAAAAAAAAAAAATTAAACAAGATTTTAATTTTAAGACTTACTAAAGGGTATGCACACTTGCCAGGGAGAGAGAAAGAGAGACGGAAAGTGAGAAAGCACCCCTCGTGGGGCTGGCCATGTTGTGATCCCTTCTCCATTTCTCCTGTTGAGATCGTTGGGCATGTACATGTATGCACACATGCCCAGTGTGTTTCTCAAGCTGCTGCAACTGGGATTCAAACTGCACAATCAGTCACGTGAGATCCATCTGACTTCACCACCACACTATTGGCTAGCCCTGAACAAAAGATATTAAAAAAATACAAATGGCCCTCAAACATTTGAAAACTGCACAACTGGCTCATAAAAAAAATAATAATACAAACAAAAACTACTGTAATATCACTTCTCTTCTGCCACATGGGCAGAATTAAGGTCTTGAACCGTGGTCAGCCATGTGGGAGTCCAGCACCTTAACTATCATGCCACCTGCTGGCCCCATATTTGTTTTGTAAGTTTATTTCTTTATTGAGAGAGAGAGAGGGAGAGACAGGCACCCCCACACTATGACCCATTCCTAGTTCCATGTACATGCCCAGCATGTTCAGGAAGTCCCAGGACCTTTCCCAGTCATGTTACCACTGCGTCCTCACCTGACCCCTTATATGTTGTTTTTGAGCTTCTGCACAATCAAGTGAGTAAGGCTTAAGTTTATTGAGCTGCTCAGAGAACACATTCACTTAATCTCATTGCATTTTAAAACATTTAAGCTCACCAGAGACCCAACTGCCTAGTAAGTAATTAGTGTATGTAGACAACTCACCAATTTTTCCTTCTCCTCTTGAGCCTTTTCCTTTGTTTCAGTCAACTGCTGTTTGAGTTTTTCAATCTGTAGAAAATAGAAATACAGAATCAGGAAAGTAATGAAACTGCTCTGTATCTTACCTTTATTCCGTGGCCAGTTTTTGCATAATAGCGAAACCAGTAGTCTGAGAGAGGTGAGTGTGGTGGGAAGAAAAGCAGGGACAAGAATTTACTTCTTCTATATCCTTAACCTGCTATGGCTGGTTTCGAACACCTGGCTGTCATCAGACATACCTGGGTAACTTTATTCTTATTGTGGTAAGAGGTGCAGTATTAAATTTACCATCTTCACTCTTTTTAATAGTAGTATTGAATATATTCACATTGCTGTTCTAGAACTTTTCACCTTACAAAACTGGAACTATTAAACATTTATTCCCTCTCTCTTCTTCCCAAGCCCCTGGCAATTATCTTCTATACTTTCCATTTGTATGATTTTTGACTACTTTAGACACTTCCGATTGGAATTATAGAGCATTTGTTCTTTTCTGATTGGTTTATTTCATTTACCATAATGTCCTTGAGTTCATTGATGTTGTTAAGTGACAAGTTTTTTTGTTTTTTTTTTTAACCCCAATTTGCTATAGGGTGTGTATGCTCACTAGAGAAAATCGGAAAGACACAAAGAGAGAAAAAGTGAGACACCCTGATTGGGGGGGTGGTGTGTGTGCGGTCTACACCTCAATCCCTTCTTCTCCATTCTCCTCTAAGGATCTTGGGCATGTACCCACACACACCTGGTCTGTTTTTCAAGCTGCTTGACCTGGGCCTCGAACTACACAGGGATTTAGCCACCTCCACTACTGACTGGCCCAAGATTTCCTTTCTAAGGCTGTGCAATTTTCCATTGCAAGGCTACACCACATTTCCTTTATCCATTCACCTGTCACTGAATATTTGAGTTGCTTCCATATCATGGCTATTGTTAATAATGCTGCAATAACCACAAATGAGCAAATCTCTCTTCAAGATCCTGCCTTGAATTCTTTAGGATATCTTGTACACCCAGAAGTAAGAATGGTAAATATCTAATTTTTTGAGGATCTTCTAAACTGTTTTCTAAATGGCTATAAAATTTCAGATTCCCACCAATAATGCACAAGGGTTCCCATTTCTCTACATCCTTTCCAACACTTATTTTGTTTTTTCTCTCTTTGGTAGCTGTCATAATGAGTATGAAGTGGTATTTTGTTTGTGCTTATTTGTTTATTTAATTTGAATTTTGTGTTTAAGAAACTTTTCTTCCCTTTTTTTTTTTTTTTTTTGCTAGAAAGCACATGCTCTCCTGGAGAAAGACAGAGAAGGAGAAAGTGAGAAATCATGCCCAGGGGATGGTCATGCTGTAATCCCTTCTCCTCTCAGGATTTTGGGCATGCACACACATGCACACCTAGCATGATTTTCAAGCTGCTAGGTCCAGGACTCAAACCACGATCCACTATGTGGGAGTCCAGCACCTTAAACACCATGCCACCTGCTGTGCCCTTTAGATAACTATTTTAAAGAAAACTTGGGAGTGCCAGTTGGTGGTAAAGCAGTAATACAACTGGACCCATATGGGAAAGACACTGGGTTCGCGTGCTGGGAATCTCCGAGCATGCCTGGACACACAAGTGCCAAAGATCTGAGCCAGCTGAGACTGGGAGTGGATCCCAGTATGAAGACCCTGTTGGGAGTGCCTGTCAGTCTCTGTGTCTGTCTCTGATGGAAGAAATAAATATACTTTAAAAAATAAAATCCTGGAGGGGGCCAGCAGTTAGCGTAATGGCTATGTCATTGGACTCCCATGTAGTCGACCATGGTTCTAGTCCCGGACCCAGCGGCTTAAACTCACACCGGGTGTGTGTGCGTGAGTGCCCAAGATCCCGAGAGAAGAATGGAGAAGGGATTGCAGCATGGCCATCCCCACTGGGGGGTGATTTCTCACTTTCTTTCTCTCTGTCTCTCTCTGTCTTTCTGGTGAGTGCATGCGCCCTATAGCAAAAATCTCCCCCCCCCCCCAAGAAAAAAAAACACAACAAAAACCAAAAACCTGGACCCAGCAGGTGGCATGGTGGTTAAGGAACTAGACACTCCCACATGGCCAACCACAGTTTGAGTCCCGGACCTGCTGGTTTTCTCATTTTCCCTCTCTCTCTCTGGTCAAATTAAAATAAATGAATAAATTAAATTAAATGAATAATTATTTTAAAAAGTAAAAATATTTAAAAAAATCTAACTGACATATCTTATGACATTTTAAGGTATTAAAATCATTGAAATATATAATCATGCCAATGTAGCCACAGAGATTGTTAATTGGAGGTTTTCTACCTACATACCAAATTATCTTTCTCCTGATCCTGCTTCTTCAGGTAGCTTAATACAGACATTGTGTCTTTCTCCATTTTAAACTGCTGTTTCTTTAATTCTTCATTACTTTTTGCCAGTCTCCGAGAAGTATCACGATACTCAATCCTAGAGAGTTCTGTGACTTCCAACCTGGCCTCCCAAAGGGAGGCATTAGCCTTGGCTCTGTCCACCACCGATTCCTCTGTTTTTATTGTCTTCCTGCATGGGAAAAGGGCATTGATAATATGTAACTATTTCTCAACTATATTAGTATCACATCTCTCTCTTCTTTAAAAAAATTTATCTTGGGAACCAGCAGTTAGCGTAATGGCTATGTCGCTGGACTCCCATGTAGTCGACTGCGGTTCGCGTCTCGGACCCGGTGGCTTAAATCTCACGCCGGGCGCGTGTGCGTGCGTGCCCAGGATCCTGAGAGGAGAATGGAGGAGAAGGGATTGCGGCGTGACCATCCCCCCTGGGGGGTGATTTCTCGCTTTCTGTCTCTATGTCTCTGTCTGGCGAGCGCACGCGCCCTATAGCGAAAACCTCTCCAAAAAAAAAAAAATTTATCTTGTGGGTTGGCAGATGGCATGGTGGTTGAGGCTGTATTCCCATGTGGCCAACCACGGTTCAAGTCCTGGACCTGGCGATTTGCTTTCTCACTCTCCCTTTCTCTCTGTCTGTCTCTCTCTGGTCAAAATGGAAGAATAATGATAATAAATAAAATGACAAATAAATAAATCTTTTAAAAAATTTATCTTGCTTGGCATTGTCTGGTACATACAGGCAAATATTATTCAATTAATGAATTAATATGAAATACATTTATTTGCATCTATATGAGAATTAAGTAGGTGCCTCGTCCTGGAAGAGAGAAGCAAGGGAGCATAATTCTACCAGACTGGAAAAAGAAAAAGGGAAGGTATAACAATCAAATTTATTTCAAGAGATATTATATGTTTTTATATAATTCTTTGATTCTCCCACATATGAATTATCCTCTCTATTCCTATTCACTCGGTGCTGGACTTTGTTCTCTCCATTACAAATCCATGACCTTTCATCCTCTTCTATAGGTTAAAGCAATAAAAGATTTTTTTTTTTTTTTGAGAGGTTTTTGCTACAGGGCATGGGCGCTTGCCAGAAAGACAGAGAGACAGAAAGCGAGAAATCACCCCCAAAGCGGGGATGGCCACGCAGCAATCCATTCTCCTCCATTCTCCTCTTAGGATCTTGGGCACGCACGCACAAGTGCTGGCGTGAGTTTAAGCCACCAGGTCCGAGACTCAAATCAAAGTCGACTACATGGGAGCCCAGCGAAATAGCCATTACGCCAACTCCTGGTCCCAAAAGGAGATATTTTTAAAATAATTATTTTATTTAACTTTATTTTAATTTGACCAGAGAGAGACAGAGAGAGAAAGCAAGTCACCAGTTCCAGATATGAACCATAGTTGCCCATGTGCAAATCCAGCACCCCCAGCCACCACGTCACCTACCTGCTGGCTTCAAAAAGAGATATTTTTCAAAATAAAGATTTATTGTACAAGTATTAACAAACAGTACCCCTAGCATATGGTAGGCACTAGATATAAAAATATATAGATAATACATATTCATCTGTATTTGAATTCTAAATATTCTCATGCATATTTATTGGTGGGCTCTTTTTAAATCATATATCTTATTTTATTTATTTATTTATTTTTTCAAGTTTGTTATAGGGCATGTGTCCTCATCAGAGAGTGAAAGAGAGAGAAAGTGAGAAAGCAAGCCACTCGGTCTAGGTCAAACCACAGTCAGCCATGTGGGAGTCCAATGCTTTAACTACCACACCACCTGCTGGCCCTGGAGGACCCTTCTTTGCTGTTATAACTCTCACATCCACTCCTCAACTCCTGGTTCTCAGTCCCTTTCCACTCCAGCTTTCACCTTTTGTTCTCTTCAAAGGCCAGTCCCCTCTGCAACCACCAAGAACCCTCTCGTTATAGCCACTGACCTCCATTTCCAGCATGATTTAGGCACTAGTGACAAACTGCATTACTATAATCACCCGATATTTGATGCAAGAAATTAGACACCTCCAATAGAATGACCACTAACACTGACTATAGAAACAAAGCCATAGTTCTCAAATAGTAGGTCACAGAAAATCCAAGGAATAGGAAGTCTTAATGTTCCTCATTGTTCACACGTGTGCTACAGATGCATGATCAAAATAAAAACACATGCTTCAAGTCCCAAAAATGCAATATACCCTTAGCACTTAAAAAAGTGTTGTACCAATGTGCAGTTACTTAAAAAAAATACAGATACACACACTGTACAATACTTACATTAATACTCAGGTAGGAAAGAACCACGTAAGCATATACATTGGACTATCCTTTTATAATGAAAAAAAAAAAAGAGTATACCCCAAAATAATAAGTGGCTATCTCTGAATGATGAGATTACAGGGGATTTTTGTTTTGTTTTGTTTTTCCTTTGTTTTCATGTGTCTCAAACTTTCTGTATTGGTGTGGCTTACTGTTTTTTTGTTTGTTTTTTGGTGTAGGGCACACGCACTAGCCAGAAAGAGAATGTGAGAAATCACCTCCAGGGGTGATGGCCATGCTGCAATCCCTTATCCTCTACTCTCCACTCAGGATTTTGGGCATGCATCCATAGGTGCCAGTATGATTCTTAAGCCGCTAGGTCCAGGACTCAAACTGCAAGGCTGGCTATGTGGGATTCAGCACCTTAACCTGCACACCACCTGCTGGCCCAGATCTACTGTACCCTTTTTTTGTTTTTAAACATTTCTTTTTTTTTTTTTAAGAATTATTTAATTGTTGGAACCAGCAGTTAGCATAATGGCTATGTCGCTGGACTCCCATGTAGCCAACCACGGTTCTCGTTCCAGACCCGGTGGCTTAAAACTCACGCTGGGCGCATGTGAGTGTGTGTCCAAGATCCCGAGAGGAGAATGGAGGAGAAGGGATTGCGGGGTGGCCATCACCCCTGGGGGGGAAGGTGATTTCTCGCTTTCTGTCTCTCTGTGTCTTTCTGGCGAGCGCACGTGCCCTATAGCAAAAACCTCTCCAAAAAAAAAAAAGAATTATTTAATTGTGGCCCAGCAGGTGGCAAGGTGGTTAAGGCACCAGACTCCTACACGGCCCCCTGTGGTTTGAGTCCCTGACTTGACAGCTTGCTTTCTCACTCTCCATGTCTTTCTCCCTGTGTGTCTCGCTGGTCAAGTTCAATAATAATAAAAAATAAATAAATGAAATTGAATAAAACATATTATAAAAAGAATTATTTAATTGTATTTATCTTTTTAAAAATTTGCTACAGGGCATGTACACTCACCAGAGAGAGAGAGAAAGAGAAAGTTGTCTGGTGGAGACTCAAACTGTGTAAGCCATATGGGAGTTCAGTGCCTTAACCACCATGCCACCTGCTGGCCCACAGACTCACTGTACTCTTAAATTACTCTATAAACATCACAAGTTTTGAGGATTCCCTTGCAATTCTACATAGGGTGATGCTGGTCACCATGTACAACTCTCCAAAGCATCTATAAACCACCTGGTCACTCAACAGATGTAGTGGAAATCTATAATAAGAGCAACTCAAGCCTGCAAGTGTTCCTTCTTCAGCAGACCTTCTTCATGGTCTCTGATCAGTCTGGGAAAACCTCAAGTTACTCAGTTTGGTCAAACCGGTTGGATGGCTCCTTTGAACTTCAAAAGGGATCTCTCAATAGGCCTAAGGAAAGATTTCTACCACCCAGGCATCTTCTAGATCAGGCATACCCAAACCCTGGGCTGCCACTGGGGTCTGTGGCCTGTTGGGGCTCTGCCTTCCCCGGGGAAGCAGGGGAGTGGGCAGCAGGCAAGCTAGCAGACGCTTGGGCTGTGTTTACTTCAAGTCCCAGTGGCTGGCATTGCTGCTTGGGCTCCACCTCTTGTCACATCACTGTTGACACTAGATTCCCAAGAGAGCTGAACGCTTTTGCGTGATTATTTCACTGTACGGTCCAATGGGGTAGTGGTGGTAATGGGGTGCATGGTGGCTTGGGATCATCCTCGTCCTCCCGCCTCCACCGACGGTGGAGTGCCTGGTGCCAGATGGCTGGGGGAGAAGGGTCACTGTTCTACATGTGGTAGATATCTCTCATGCTAGGAGCAAGCAAGAATAAACCACAAGAGCGGTAATTCTCAAAAGCGGGGAGAACCAGACAGATCCGGGTGGGCCGGCGGGAGGGCGCCAGCTGGCCAACTCTCCGACCCAAAAATCCCTGGAGGGGGGACCTTTTCCCCCACCGGCGGATGCTCCTTACTTCTTCACTTTGCCTTTACTCTTGCTTTTCCTTTTGTCTTTTCCCTTCCACGGCATCTTGGCTTCTCCAGGGGCCGGGCTGCGGTGGCCGCCTGGCCTCAGCCGCCCGGCCCGCCTCCGTCTCTAAGGAAACCAGCACGCGGAGCGAGAAACGTTCCGCCTCGCCGTTGCCGGCGCGCTGAGGGCGCACGCGCCTTTGACGTAGCCCTGACGCCACCACGCGGGGGGCGGGCGGAGATCGCCGAGGCGGCGGGAGGCCGCGCCGGGGTGGCGCGCGCGCGGTGAGTGTGAGTGTGAGTGAGGGCTGC